GGGGAATTGCAGTCAATGTCATGAGACAAAGTGTATGTGAGCTGCTGTATGGAAAGTGAATTTGCTCTGCAAACTTTCACCCAAATCACAACAAAATTAAAAAAAAAGAAAAAAGAAAGCCAACCTTTGGGTCGCAGCCGAGTGCTTCACTGTTGTGCCCCCAGGGCCCCTCTTCCCCTTCCTAACGGGGTTTAAGTGACAGTTCAGAGCACCCACAGGTGGGCACTGGGGACGCAGCACTTCAGCCTCCCGGCCACTCTCACTGGCTGCACACCCACCTCCAGAGGGCACAGAGGGGCCAAGGGGGCAGTTCAGGGCCTGCAGCTGGGAGCCTGAGCCTGCGGAGCCCGAGCAGGCAGAGAGCAGAACGTTCTGTCCAACGGCATGAGCGGTCCCAGGGTGGCCACTGCGCTAAACATCACCGGGAGCCCGCCGGGGGGCTGCTCAGTGAGGGCCTAGGGCTGGACTAGGGACCGGTGGTTGGAGTAGAAGGCCCTCGTGGGGCAAACCCTGAGCTCGGCTGCTAACTGCAAGGTCGACGGTTCGGATCCGCCCAGGGCTCTGTGGAAGGCAGGGCTGAGATCTGCTTCCATAAAGATTACAGCCAAGGAAACCGTGGAGCAGGCCTACGCTGTGACATGGGGGGTCGCCGTGCCTCGGGTTCCGTGGCAGTGGGGGTGTGGGGCCCCGAGATGTTCTGCAGACCTTCCCCTCCCGAGAACCCCGACTCCTCTCTCAGAGGCGTGCTGGAGGGGACTCGCGCCGGGAGCAAGGTGGATGGAAAGGGGAGGACCCCAAGGACAGTTCTAAGAGCCAGCCCAGCACAGAGAGGAGTCCAGGTCGGTCCAACGGAGAGAAGAGGCCAGCCCAAGAAAGAGTGGAACAGAACCCAGTGCCCGCTGCGGGCCACCCAGGCCCGGGAGGGAGCCTGTGTCCTGTCTGAGATGGGTGTCGTCAGAGACTTGGCAAAGAAGCTCAAGAGACCATACCACGTCATGGGAGATGCACGTGGCTGGGGGGTTGAGAGGGGATTGTGGAGACCAAGTAAACTTGACTCTGGGTCACTCTGCCTGGTCACAAAGCAGCACTGAAAGACAGGAGCCAACAGTAGGCCCCGGAAATCCTGCTACACAAAATCCCAGCCCCTACAGAAGGAGAAGAAGTGGTGAGGGGCAGAGACCCCGGGAGACAGCAGCGGCATCTAGGACTTCAGAAATGCAGCTTTTGAAACAGAGACAAAAACAAGCCGAGGAAAACAAAGAGAAGCCCCCATAGGGTGCTGTCAGAGCACAACTGGGCTCAAGGGAGTTTGCAGGGATTTTCCAGAAGCCTGGCTTCTGAAGTGCCTCTGGGCGGCCTCAAAGCACCAACTGCTGGGTTAGCAGCTGAGGGCGAACGCCCTTTGCATCATGCATCACCCAGGGACTCTGAGCATGAAAGAAAGGTCCTTAACTACCGGCACTTTCATTTCCTTAGGACAGATGATCAAAGGCAGGGGTGCTGGGTCAAACAGCAAACCTTTCATTCACATTCTCAAAATACTGCCGGCTGGCTTTGTACAACAGGGAGGGCAGTTTACACTCGCTCCCGCCCCAAGACGCGCAGCTCCCTTGCTCCAAGCACAGGGCCCGGCCGCCCTGCCAAGTTTCCCCAGTCAATGGCCAAAGAGCGTCTTTGGGCCTCATCATCTCTTCGGGGGCTCAGCCTCTTTCTGAATCTTTCCCTCTGTCAAGAGCCTGTGTGCACACTCATCACCATTTCTCTGCCGGGTTATCTGTTGTCTTCTTATCAATTTTTATGGAAGATTTTTTAAAAAAACATGATCATATTTGTTGCAAACATCACCCACATTGACTTTTATTTCTATTATTTATAATTATTTATATTACTTATATTACCAAAGAAATTTAAAAATTTTTATTTAGTCAAATATATGTGTTTTTTCTTTAATCCTTTCTAGGGTCCATCGTGGTTAGGAAGGTCTCTGCCCCGTCCCCACTCCAAGGCTAAAATCCACTCTATATTTTCTGCAATAATTTATCTTTACGTGGAAACCTTTCATGTGTTTGTCTGGCTTACCTAGGGCTGCTGTAACAAAAACACCATCAACAGGGCCGGGGCCTTTGAACAACAGGAGGGTACTGTCTCGTGGGTTTGGAGGCTGGAAACCCAGGTGGTTCCAGGGGATGTTCCCCCTTTGGCAGTGGCCCCAGCGTTCCTTGGTTTATTACCCAGTAAGGAAGGCAAGCATGGGCCTACTTTTGCTTACTTAGTAAACTGTAGTAAACAGTTTCACACGGGCTTCACACGTGATGCAAACATGAGAGACTGTTCATTACAGAGCAGTAAGTAAGCACAACGAAGCCTGTGCCGCCCTTGCTCACTGGGTACTCCAGCCCGTCAGGCATTCTCCACTGGAAGAGGCTCTGGCTCTGTAGGAACGTGCTGTGGGGTCGGGAGACAGACAGAGGCCAGCCATCCCTGGGAGCAGACTCGCTGATTGCTGGAAACATGTGACACTGCTCACGACAGAGTAGGAAGTAAACCCGAGTCAGCCCGTGCTTACCCTGTTTGCTGGGTACTGCGCTCGTCAGTTAGATGGCTTATGTGGTCTCTTGTGCCTGCACGTGCTTTTTTCCCATTTCCTCTTTTCATGAGACACCACACCACCCAGAGGGGATCAAGTTTAAGAGTTCCCACTCCAGCACGACGCCATGGACCCAGCAAAGGAAAACCATCCTTTCCAAGCAGGGTCAGATGTACCAATGCTCACAGGCGTAGGGCTCAGGGGGTCAACATTTGTATTTGGGGAGCACCATGCAATGCGTAACAGAATGATTCTGAACTTGAGACACTTTCTACTGCCATCTGTCAATAAACAAGGCACCCGCAGCGTCCCTGTCACACAGCACTGCACATGGCTTCCTTATCACCCAGCACGCCACACCTGCCAGAAATGAGAGCATACGCCCCCAAGAACACCTGTGCACACGGCTGTCACGGCGTCTTCACTCAGACAGCCCCAACCTGGCAACAGCCCCAACCTGGCAACAGCCCCAACCTGGCAACAGCACAAGCCCATCGAC